GTATAGATGCTGAATATTAGGAATCAGTTAGATGCCGTATATAGAATATATTTTTGTGTATATATGGAACTTAGATATGATGAAAGGGGAGAACTCTGGGAGGAGGTTTTGCGAAAGAATTTTTCTGTTTTCTTTAGTTTGACAAACAGCCACTGAAACCCATGAAGATTTGATCCTGATGGTGGTATTCACAGTCGGAGATTGATGACGTCGGTACTGTTCCTCATCGGTTCACGTCGGGTCACCAGGTCAGTTTACGGCGGGTTCACCAGGTTATCTTCTAGTCTTCAATCATAAATTATTATTTGGGTTTAAAGATCTTAGCTCTGATATCATGTTAGAATTGATCAATGAGAATAGAGAAGAGAGAAAGAGAATAGATTATTCATAAATGAAGTCTGTAATACACAATTTAACCTAAAAATACACAAAATAACCCTTNAGAAGAGAGAAAGAGAATAGATTATTCATAAATGAAGTCTGTAATACACAATTTAACCTAAAAATACACAAAATAACCCTTATATAGTAAGACAACACAACATAAAAAAATACCTAAACTACCCTTATTATGAATACTCTAATAGATCTTTCTAATGCTTTTATCTATGCACGTATGGGTGGTGGTGGTGGGAAGGGTNAGAAAGGGTTTTAAGGCGAACTTCTTCAGCTAAGAGTTCATTAACAACTGCATCCACTGAGGGGAGTGGGTGACGATGAAGAATAGAAACACAAAGTCCCTCGAAGTCATCCCTAAGGGCCATCAAGAATTGCACCAGTCTCTATTCCTCTCTGAAGGTGTGATATGCCAAATTAGTGCTCAACTTAGTGGGTTCAGTAAGTGCTAACTGATCCCAGAAGTCAGTCATAACAGAGTAGAATTCTTGGATGATTTTGTTCCCATATCGCGCATCTCGAATTTTATGCTCTAGCTGATACCTCTTTACAAAATTAGACTGAACAAAAAGTGTGGCCAAATAATTTCAAATCTCCTTAACAGTGGTAAACTTGGATAGATGAACCCCAATGGTCTGATCAGCTGAGTTATTAATTCAGGTGATAATTTTCGCATTATTGATATCCCAGGTACTTTTCAAATCAGTATAATTTTTTGTCTTAGTATCAGTTGGAGGCTATACAACACCACTAATGTAATTCCACATGTCTTTTCCCAACAAAATTTATTTCATAACATAAGCTCAATAAACATAATTTTCACCAATTGGTCTCACACTAATGGCTTGACGTGAATTTGAGTGACCACTTGCCATATAGTAACAATTATCAATACGCTCCACAGTCAAATTCAAACTCATCAGCCCAAAGAAGCATTACCACCAAATAAGCAAAAAAAATCCAGCAGAGCAAAAACCCAGCAATAATAAACCAAATAAGCCAAATTATAAGACTGCCCACTACCACTCTAGAATGCCAAAGCCACGATAAGAAAACAACAATAATAGCAACAATTCAACAACCCAGCCACAATCCAGCAAATTAAATCAATAAACAACTAGAGAGTATCAATCACAAACCAATCGATGCACTGTTCGATGCACGGTGAAGGCAAAGAATAGTTCACCGATGCACATTAACAGCACCAAACACCCAACCGACACACAACAATCACAAAATAGACCAAAGGGGGGCAGTCGGTGCACTGTGAGGCAATCGGTGCTTGGAGGAGACAGTCAATGCATTGTGGGGAGGAGAGCACTCATCGAAACCCAGAAGACTCACCGAAATCCAGAAGACAGACTTTCGGTGCACTGTGGGGAGGAGAACAGCCACCGAAACCCATGAAGATTCGATCCTGATGGTCGTATTCACAGTTGGAGACTGATGACATCAGTACTGTTCATTATCGGTTCACGTCGGGTTCACCAGGTCAGTTCACGGCAGGGTCACCAGGTTATCTTCTAGTTTTCAATCATAAATTATTATTTGGGTTTAAAGAGCTCTGATATTATGTTAGAATTGATCAATGAGAATAGAGAAGAGAAAAGAAGAATAAATTATTCATAAAGGAAGTCTGTAATACACAGCTTAACCTAGAAATACACAAAGTAACCCTTATATAGCAGGGCAACACAACATAAAGAAAATGCCTAAACTACCCTTATTATGAATACTCTAACAATAGATATAAGTATTACGTTTATTGTGACGATAATTACTATACAAACTGGACTTTATGAAATTGTTTAGGGGTAAAAGTAGTAAATAAGAGTTTTTGGTTAGTGACCGATAACATATGCCTAGAAAGTTGCGAAAAAGATGAAGAAAACATAGAGAGCCATGGAATGGATAATTAGAACATAAAATTTTTGATTATTTTAAGTTATTTGTCTATATACAATATTTGTGCGTGGAAAGCTAGAGGGAATTTGGATGGTGAGGAAGAAATGAATGGACTGCCCCAAATATGGGGGTTTTAGTTATTTGAATACTAAAATGTAAGAAATCATGGTTAATAACCAACTCCTATATTTTTTTTTAATCAGTACATCAATCAAAACCTATTGAAAATGTAATGGGTGATGAGAAGAAAAAGAGAGGCATGAAAGGTCACTCAACAAATAAATAGATTGTATAATGAAAAACATTTATGTTTTACTTGTTTAGATGCATGGTATTTTGGATATTTAAGAGATGCTAGTGGGTGAAAGAGTTAAATAAAAGTTATTACAATATGTGTATATTTAGAAATAGTATAGATTCAATAACCTAGCAACTAACAAAGTAGGACCCATGGGTAACTATTACAATGAAATTCATATGAAATTGTAAGCATTTACATATGACCGACTGATTCTAAATCTACATGACGAAAGACCCCAGGGGAACCTGTTTGAAGTTGAACATACTTTCCTTTTAAATTTGTTTTTCCTTAAACTCCTTATTGTCTGCATCACTTAGGTTTCTTTTGACAGAGTAAGGCAGTGGAGGAGTATAATACTTTCAGATACTTCCCATGAATGTGCTGTGTCAAGTAAGAAATAAGTTCAGTAAAGATATTTTGCCCATGTTACATAGTGGGGGCTTGTATCATTTGGTCATTGTAGTTGATAAAATGTTATTTTTGATAAGTATAGTAGTGGATAATCCATATAGTTGAAGAATATGAATGGCATTATGCAAATGAGGCAGCTGGCCCATGCTTTCCCCCTAGAAGGTGGCATCTTGATGAAGTTCAAAATTGTGTTCAAATCTCACTTGCATTCTCATATGGCATGGGTATCTTTCTTGTCAAGTTTCCCTTTAGTGTACACTCAGCAGAATCTTAATTCTGTGACGTCTTTGGGTTTAGTTCATTTTTCTGCCCACCTAACAAAGCCATAAACCTGTGACATCTTTGGTGGGTGTATTTCTTTTTAAACTCCCTTTTGATGTACACTCGGCAGAACCCTAATTCAGTGATGTATACGGGTTTTGTCCCTTTTTCTGTTCACCAAATGAAGTCATAATTCTGCAACATCTCTGTTCTTTCTTTGTCTGTTTGACGTCATGTATACGATCATTCGATTCAGTAAGGATTTTCATTAGATTCAGTTATTGGATTTATAATTATTTGACAAGCGTGCTCATCCTGAAATTTGGAGAGCTTCCAGCTTCAATTGTCTATGTGGGCTTTCTGATTTTGGTTGGCTGACTTGCGATTCTGGTTGACATAAGCAACATCAGTCATTGAGAATGTTAGAACAAACTTCCCTTTTGTGTAATCATTAGAAATAGAGAACAAAGATGAGAATCCATTCAGTTTGGAGTCCTACTGTTTCTTAAATTAAAAATCGGAAACTTGCATGAGAAAAGCCTTTTTACTAGTCAAAAGCATAAATTATGGACTTCCTGAATGCCAATTGTTTTTATCTTGAAACTGTTTGAAACTTTGATGTTCTCTCAAAGTGCTCACGATGCTTGGACTACCTTTTTGGGGGATGTTTTGTCCTTTCTGTATGCCCTTAGCAATCTAACCTCTTCTGTTTAAGTGGTAGTCCTAATTTCTCCTTGCCTTTATTAGATTATATCAGAGATTCGCAAGACCGTGGAATCTGTTGGCTTTGTTGAAGTTGAAACACCAGTTTTACAGGTTTGTAAATTTCTTTTCACATACTGTGTTATGGCATTTTCAATTTATATATTTCACCTGGTTAGTATTTTGCTCTTGTCTCATCTGGTAGGAGGAGGTAGATTAATTAGTTTTTGATAAAAATAGAATGGTTGCTTCTTGCCACACCTATTGTTATACATGTTGAAGTATAAATATTTAAATTATACCCTCAGGTTAAGCTTTTAAAGTTGATGGTGGTTTAACATGGTATTAGAGCAGAAGGTTTTGTGTTTGAATCTCACCGCCACCTTGAAAATTAAAAAGATTTCCAAGTGCTAGGCTCAAAATCTAACCCGCATGTGAGGGGCGTGTTGAATTGTAAATATCGAAGTTATACACTCACTAATAGCTTAGGTTTTTAGAGTAGATGGTTGTTTATCAATACTTAATGTTCCTGCAAATTGTGCTTGAAGGGTCCTTCATACTATACTCACTCGGAGCCCATGGTTGCTTTTTTTTTTTTTTT